GGTCACTAGAGGAAATTGATACAAAATCTATTCCTTCTCCGGAGAATCAACTTTGTGAGCAAATATTTAAAGACACAACCCTAAGACTTCCCAATGGTCAATTCCAAGTTAATCTTCCTCTCAAGAGTCCCAACGAGCACCTAAAACTTGGCGATAGCTTTACGCAAGCCAAAAGACGATTTTCAGAGTTTATTTCATGAATACAAATCATTCATTGATGAGTACATAGCATTGAATCATGCCAGAATAATTCCCCTCACAATAAAAAATGAGAAAAACGAAAATGAATTTTTTCTCCCACATCATCCAGTGTTAAGACCAGAGAGCACCACCACAAAGTTGCGAGTGGTTTTCGACGGTTCTATGACATCATCATCAGGAGTCTCCCTTAACAATACAACTCTCAAGGATTTTCCCGTCTAGTCTGACCTCTTTGACATTTTGCTCAGATTCAGAGTTCGCAATTATGTGCTGATAGCAGACATTCAAAAAATGTATAGGAATATCCAAATCAATCCTAATCAAACATTTCTCCAAAATATTTTATGGAGGGATCACCCCACTGAAGATCTAAAATGCGTAGAACTTACTTCAGTTACGTACGGCTTGAATAGTTCAAGCTTCTTGGCAACTCGTTGCTTAAGTGAACTTGCTGTTTCTAAAAAATTTGACTATCCACTAGCTTCACAGGTGTTGTTACTTCAAACGTACGTTGACGATGTCCTGGCTTCTCAGGAATCCTTAGATGAACTGCATAAACTTTATGTTGAATTGAATGCTCTTTTAAACTCAGCTGGATTTTATCTTCATAAGTTCGCATCGAATTCAAAGGAATTCACACAAAACGTCCTTAAAACTTCTAATTCTCAATTGTCTTCTCAAACGCTTGACATAAAAATGGAGCAGGTTTCAAACAAGGTTCTCGGTTTAAAGTGGAACTCATCCGAGGATCAATTTTGTATTTGTTTACCCGCGTTGGAAACCCAGAAATGCTTTACAAAGCGTGAGGTGTTGTCTAACATTGCGAAGATGTTTGATCCCTGTGGTTACCTTGGTCCAGTCATTGTTATCGCGAAAATTTTTATGCAAAAAATTTGGAACAGGAAGCTGGACTGGAACGACAAGCTTCCGCCCGACTTATTGGATGAATGGTTGGATTTATTCACAAGAATTCCTTGCCTGAAAAATGTCCAAGTTCCACGATGCTTACTTTTGAAGAAAAAGATTCTAACCGTCGAGCTTCATGGCTTTGCGGACGCAAGCCTACTTGCGTATTCTGCTTGCGTGTATTTACGTGCAACATACGCAGATCATAGAGTTTCTAGTCGTTTGATTTGTTCCAAGTCCAGAGTTAGCCCTGTAAAGACTATTAGCGTACCCATACTCGAATTATGTGGTGCATTACTTTTAGCACGTCTCGTTGAGAAGGTTATAGCCATTTTCAATAATGCCATTAAATTTGAATCCGTAAATTTATGGACGGATTCGGAAATTGTGTTATGCTGGTTGTCAGCACACTCTTCCAGATGGGTTGTTTTTGTAAGCAATCGTACCGCTGAAATACAGAGGTTGACCGAATCATTCATTTGGCGACATGTTTCTTCGGAAAAAAATGCAGCCGATCCTTTGTCCCGTGGAATTTCTCCCGATAAAATTCAATTTTGCGAGTTGTGGTGGAAGGGACCTAATTTTTTGCAAAACTTTGAACTTGACCTCAGTAAATTCACATTCAAGATTTCACAAAACAATGAAGCATTAAAAGAGGAGCGAAGTATAAAAACGATTTCTTCGCATTTTTTCATAACTAATGAATATTGTTACTCAAAATTTCTAAAATTTTCTAGTTTCACTCGCCTGCATAGAACTTTCGCTTTTATTTTCAGATTTGTGAAAAATTTAAAACATAGCTCCAATAAGGTTTTGGAAAATTCTTTATCAATCGAAGAATTGCAAGTTTCTCGTAACTTTATCATTAAAACCATACAAGAAAAGCATTTTTCCAAGGAAATATCCTGTCTAAAACATCACAAGGTCGTACCTAACAAGGCAATCTTATCTTTAAGTCCATTTTTGGACCCTGAAGGAATTTTAAGGGCCGGTGGCCGTCTGTCAAGGGCAGATATATCATTTGACCAGAAATTTCCCATTTTGCTGCCCGCTAAAGATCACGTAGTTGATCTGATTCTTACTAAGCAACATTTGGACCTTTATCATGCAGGCCCACAAACTGTTTTATCGCATACACGACTTCGTTATTGGCCTCTCAATAGCCTACGAGCCATTAAAAAACTAACAGGAAAGTGCATAGTTTGTTTCCGATTACGGGCCCAAGTAGCTCAACAAATAATGGCAGATTTACCAGAGTTTCGAGTAAACTTCTCAAAACCATTTGCCAAGATCGGCGTAGATTTTGGCGGACCAATGCTTGTCAAATCATCCTCGTTGCGGCAAGCCAAGCTTCTCAAATGCTACTTTGCAGTGTTCGTGTGTATGGCCACAAAGGCCACACATATCGAACTAGTATCAGATCTTTCCACTAATGCTTTTATTTGCACACTCAAGCGCTTTATATCCCGTAGAGGTAATCCGTCCGTAATTTTCACCGACAACGCCACAAACTTCAAAGGCTCAAGAAATGAAATTAAAGAACTTTACGACTTCTTTAAAAATGATGCACATAATAAACAAATAAAGGATTTTCTATCACTTAGAGAAACGCAATGGGTTTTCATCCCTCCTCGCTCTCCTCATTGGGGCGGTTTGTGGGAAAGCTCCATCAAAAGTACCAAATATCACATCAAAAGAATAATTGGCGACTCCCATTTTACTTTCGAAGTTTTAAGTACCGTATTGGCTCAAATAGAGGCAATTCTCAATTCCAGGCCACTTTGCGCCTTATCAAACGACCCTTTGGACCTCGATGTCCTCACTCCAGGCCATTTTCTCATTGGCTCCAGTTTAACATCTTTTCCAGAAAGATCCTTAGAAAACACCACTACAAATAGACTTTCCATGTGGACAAACATGACAAAGGTTCAACAGGCCTTCTGGAAAAGATGGTCAACTGAGTACTTAAACCAACTTCAGAATAAACCAAAGTGGCTAGTCCAAAAACCAAATATTAAAGTTAATGATCTTGTCCTCATAAAGGAAGAAAATGTACCTCCTTTAAAATGGCCAAGAGCCTGGGTAACTGAAATCATTACGAGTGCAGATAATAATGTTCGTGTTGTAAAATTAGGAACAAAAGACTCCGAATTCACTCGTTCAATCGCGAAGCTGTGTCCACTGCCATTGAGCAATGAGTGATGGTCCTTCGAATCGTTTCTTTTCTCCATTTCTTGAAGCTGAGGCTTCAAGGGGGGGGAGTATGTTGAAATTTCATTTCAACCCGCTGCCGCCGCCGCTGTATTTAAAGTTAAATTTCTTTATATTTCTTTTCTTACGATAATCTTCTGTTTCTACCCGATTTTCAAGGGAACGTGCGTATGCCCAAACGCATCGCAAAAGTAGATCAAGACTGGAGGTGGAGGTGCCTTGACTTCTCACTTCTAGTCAGAGATCGTAACGCATTGCAAGGGTTGTTTTGTACCGCTTTTTTCTTTTCTCCAAATGGCCCGATCGTGCGCCTCTAATCAACCTTTTCTTTCTCTTCAGTTTTCTATTGTTTAATTGCTGTTAATCAACCAATTATTTGCGTTAATGTGAACTGAACGTTCCATATACTTATTTAAATATGCAATGTTCTTCAGAATTTGTTACCTGTTTTCTGTGAATAGTTGTAAATAGTCGTTTTTCGTTCAGATTTAAATAAAATAACCTTTCATAATCAAACCATCGTGTTTGCTTGAACCTGGATTTTTGAACAACAAGAATTAGCACGGCATCGGCAGCATTCTACCACAGATTCTACACTTGAAAAATAAATAAATGTTGGAAACCACAAACAAATTTTCCTCTCTATCATTTACCATAAAAATAATATTCTAGAAATAGATGCCTGCAAAACCGGCAACAACAACCCTTTGAACCGGTAAAATTACAGGTTTCTTCATTACCTTATAAGGCAGTGAACCTTTATCGCCGTGTGATTGGTCAGCCGCCGCACAAAACCCCTAGTTTTTTTGCGACCTGCTCCCTGGAGGAGCTAGTCGACGCACATTCGTCAGTACTATTAGGTTGAGCGAAGAGTTCGCACCCTCGCGCCCTCTGAATGCTCTCCAGAGGCAAAAACTCCCAAAATATTTTTGATGATTTTTTTCATGATAAATATATTCTATTTATGGTGTTGAACTTAGGCCTCAGTCTATTTTCAATAGATTCGTTATGGTTGACATCACTGTTTTGAAGTCTTAAAATCTTCCTTATCCATTTTGCTGTTGAAATCACACACTAGTAGATTAGTGCCTGATTTATCAGTAATCAGGATCCTCTCAAAGATTTCCGGAATGTTTCATTTCGGATTTCTCAGTTGCCGGAGTGCACAGATAATTTTCAAGCTATTCCACTAGTGAAACTATGACTCTCATGTCTATTCTATGCTCTTGATGACACCGACGTTGTCTATCATGGTTCTTGTGAGTGATGAATGTCACTCTTTTATCATGAAAGATGTTACCGGATGTTAAGGTCAGCCGCTATTCGCAATATTTTCTCACTTCTCTCAACTCTAGTTCTTTTTCTTTTAGTAATCTATTGTCAACCTGTTATGAATTTTCTAGGTAGTTTTAAATTGTCGTTCTATTCCGATTATTGTATCTTATCAAACGAATTTGTTCCTTAAAATATTATTGTTTGGCTTAATAGTGTATTGTTTCTACAAGCTCTACAAACACCAAAATGAAAGTCTAAATGTCGAATTGAATTAAACAGTTATATGTTCAACTAAAACCCACCGTCGAAGTTTTGATTAGGATTAGGGACGCTCTTGTTATCATACTTATTGCTATGCACTAGGTGCTGAGTCATACGGGGTGGTTCAAATAAATGTAGAGACTTACCTTCGGTACCTTCCTTGATAATAACATCTCCTGGTAAAAATATCTGAGATACTAAACATCTTCGAATTTTATTAAGAGCTTCGTCCGGACATTTTTTGAACAATCTCACGTTTCCCATGCCTTCTTCTGATATTGTAAAAAGAATTTCTTGTCTCAATGCAAATGAAAGCATTTTTTTGAGAATCGATTCCTAAAAAAACATCAAAAACGGATATAGTACAATCATTGGTATATTTTCAGTTACCTTATAAAAATTCCCTTGATATTTGAAATCCATGAAAAGATATATACGATCTCTTAAAGCCATTGGTAAAGCTCTGTATCTCATGAAAGCTGCCGTGGAAGTGTACGAAGAGAGTTGACTGTTTTCGACGCTGTAGAATTTCCGCCAAACTTCCATACCCTATGCAAGAGTGAAAATAAAAAAACAAAAATTTAAATCAATTTTCATTCATATATTGTTACCTACTGGTAGAGAGATTGGGTTGTTTTTCAAAAAAAAGCTTGCCGCCTAAAAACGTTTTAGGAACAGTCCAACTTTTATATTCTGATACTCAAAAGGAATGTGAGCTGGTGGCTTTCTACAGCCTCTACCTTAGTAATGGTCACCTGACCTCACACCTGTTTTTGCTGTATTTTTCCTCCCATTGTTCCTCATACCGAAAGTGTCAAATTAAAAAAGCTAAACATTACCTAAAGCCGTTCTCAAAAATATAGTTTATTTTTTCCGATAAAAAAAAATTATGACGTAATGAATGGTTTTCTTTCAAACACAACTCAGTCACTAGATTGATAAAAATGTTAACTTACATCAATTAACATAATTAAATGAAAAAAAAATCCAATCATAACAAACATGACTGAAAAAAATTGCAATAGTCCTTTATCAGGATATCCATGATCAACCATCATCAACATCTTGACCATATACATGACATGATTCAATAAGGAGTAATCCGGTACTATCTCGACCTAAAAAAAAAGGTGATTGAAAATGTAAATGCCAATAGTATAGGGTGGGCTCAAAAAAACAGGAATTTTGTTTTTGAGCTGTAACTTTTTTTGTTGTTGATCAATTTCCTTTTGTTTTGGCTTGTTTGAAAGAGAATTGAACAGGCTAACGAATCAAACTGAAACTTTTGACATTAGAGATAAATTCAAAATGGCGGACTTCTTCATAAATTACCTATGGTTTATTTTTTTCCAAGATAGATTTTGGCATTGTCAACTTTGAAAAATAAACAATGCCGCTAATGCCGCTTATTGGTCGCTATTGTAAAACTGATGTCAACCTGCAGAAACACCTCATTTTGCGACCAATCAGGGTCAAGCGTGATTGTTTATGTTTCAAAGTTTCCAATGTCAAAATCTATCTTGGGAAAAAATAAAGTGTAATTTTGGATAGCGCTGGAACTTTTTTGTGACCCCCTGTATAATTTTTTCTGATAAATTCTAAAAGTTCATCATTTTGCGAACATTATAAGACCTGAACAGGAAGTCCGCCATTTTGCCCAAATTTCAAAAAACTCACCTTGATTTGTTAGCCTGTTCAATTCTCTTCCAAACAAGGCAGAACAAAAGGACAGCTCAAAAACAAAATTCCGTTTTTTTTTGAGCCCACCCTATATAACGGTTAAGATCAGTCTGCGCATGCATCAACAAAAACGAAAAAAACTTGAATGCGCCTGCGTCATTGACTTAATCTACCACTAGACGGAGCATTTATTTATAAAATACGCGTTGTTATGAATATTATGAATATTTTGCCAGTATATAGTAGCTGTGGCGTCTTGTGTTTGTGCGTTCTTGCTTATGGAAAGAGAGGTGATGTCGTAACCCATGTTCAATGCTAAGTGCGCAACTATACCTCAGCGCTTGCACTCTATGAGGTGTCATTAGATTTTCATATGTCAATGATCAAGGCTGTTTAAAGAGGACGTTGCATAATAACTTGTACAGGGTGTTGGTTTATAACTGGAACACTCAATAACTTTTTTATTACTGAGAATAAAGGGCATGTTTAAATTGAAAAATTTCTTGGTAAATTGCAACGATCTTAATTGCTACAACGAGATTTGTCTTGTCGCCATAGGTATACAGGGTGCGCCAAAAAAGTCATTTTTTCAAATGGAACGCCCTGTATATTTTTGCATTTTTGAAATTCTCAGAAAGTTAGCTTCACAAACATGTCAAATATTATTTGGATAATAAAAATATACAGGGCATTCCATTTAAAAAAAGTACCATTTTGGCGCATCCTGTAAACCTATGACGACAAAAAATATCATTGTAGCGCCTAAGGTTGCAATTTGCCAAGAAATTTTCCAGCTTAAACGTGCCCTTTATTTTCAATAATATAGGAAAGTTACTGAGTGTTCCAGTTATAAACAAACACCTAGTACCTGACATCATTGGTTATGCAAGGGGGAATTAAAATGTATTCATAAATGTATTCGATCCTTTGAATACTTGTAATTGTACTTTGTACTCGAGAACATTTTACGCTAAGTACTTGTACCCGGTACCCGAGTACATTTTGCCTGTTCTCGGCCACTACCCTAAGCCCCCCCATGTGAAAGCTATAGCTACGTTGTTGCTACCATGTATTTCAATGCTTAAATCAACCTCCGGGATCACTAATTTCCTTAAACAGAAAGAGGTATCTGAACCGGAGGTAACTGAGCCCAAGCTGAGTAACACCAAGGCTGAGGGCTCAGAGAACGAACTTCCCACAGATGAAGAGGAGGAGCTACTAAAGGACGAGACAGACATCGCGGAGAGCGAAGCCAACGCCACCTCGCCTCTGTCTTAAGTAACCAATGTACGATACAGCTACCAGGGTAGCCCAGGTCAACCTCCATCACGCCAGAAGGTGCTGTGATTGCGAGGTTGGTTGGGCAAGAGCTTGTGGATCTTGTGCTGATCGAAGAACCGTGGGTATACAGGGGGCACGTAAAAGGACTGATCACCAAAAACTCAAAGGTAATATGGGACGATAGGCGCGAAACGCACAGAGCCTGCATAGTAAACAAGAGACATATTAATTAAACTTGTGTTTCAGAATATGTGACATAAAGGACCTAGTACAAATCATGGTGAATTTCCACCAGGGGGCAGATAGTGGACCATTGTGATAGCAGGATAGTAGGATTACGCACACCACCGGCGAAACTGCAGGAACTGCACACCACTGTAGGGTGAAAAAATACGCCACTCCTAGTGGGATGCGACGCTAATGCATACCACACTTCTGAGGGAGGTTAAACACCAACACCAGGGGTGAGTAGGTACCTTGTAGCGCTACTTTGGTTTTCCAGGAAGTAAGCGGTTGATTTCGGAATTTTCGGAAAACTCGGGCGCCACCCTTAGGATTAATGTGGTTAAGAACCCACGTGCTCTAGGTAGCTTTTAAACAGTGGAGACGGAAAACCAGGTGTCGCTACGCATTTCCCAAAAATGAAACACACAATCCAACCAAGAAAGTAGTTTTTATTGACTACCCAATAATTTATAATACAAAAAGGAAATGCAAGAAAACTTAATTAAGATACAGGTTTAATAAAAGGAAATGCTAAGCGGAGAGTGAGGGGGAGCGAACGAAGTGCGTGTGCGTGACGGATTAGTTGCGTGAATTTAACGGTTCGAGATTACGGTACGGTGACGGTTACGGTAACGGTTAATCGGCAAAAGAAAGCTCCAGGAACCAGGATCGGTCCAGTATCTACACCGTCAGCTTGCAGGATTAGGCCTTTGGGCCTCGTGCGCGAATTTCTTACTCCGAGCAGAATGCAGGTCAGAGAGAATAGGTGTGAAGAGTAAAGAGCACTACCCTGGTCGTATCACAGCCCGTAGCCCTATTTACTCTGTCACGGAACGAACGGAGCTGCCCTGTTTATGTGTTCCAGCCCGCAGTTCCGGTCACTCCGTGCACAGAAGAGAGAAAGAAGAACTGTGTAGAATAAAGCGCGCCACCCTGATACCAGCCCGTAGCGTGCGTTATTCTGCCACGGAATGAACAGAGCTGCCCTGTTTATGTGTTCCAGCCCGCAGTTCCGGTAACTCCGTGCACAGAAAAGAGAAAGAAGGACTGTGTAGAATAAAGAGCGCCACCCTGTCACCAGCCCGTAGCGTCCTTTATTCTGTCACGGAAGGAGCAGAGCTGCCCTGTCCGTATTCCAGCCAGCAGCTCCGGTCAACCCGTGTACAGAAGAGAGAAAGAAGAAATGTGTAGAATAAAGAGCGCTACCCTGTCACCAGCCCAGAGCGTCCTTTATTCTGTCACGGAAGGAGCAGAGCTGCCCTGTCCGTATTCCAGCCAGCAGCTCCGATCAACCCGTGTACAGAAGAGAGAAAGAAGAAATGTGTAGAATAAAGAGCGCTACCCTGTCACCAGCCCGAAGCGTCCTTTATTCTGTCACGGAAGGAGCAGAGCTGCCCTGTCCGTATTCCAGCCAGCAGCTCCGATCAACCCGTGTACAGAAGAGAGAAAGAAGAAATACCTGCATTCTTACCCGTACTTACATTAAACGGTCGGCTAACATCTGGCGTCGCGGCGCTGCTGACGGCGGCGGTACTGGCGGCGGCGGCGGTGGTTTTACCTTATAGGTCGGCTGCGGCAGGTCGGAGCGGTCTGGTAGGTCTGTTCGGTTTCGGAGCTCGGAGAGAAGTGACCAAACGCAGTGCGTGCTGCTATATTTATAAGCGGGAGGCACCGCGTCATGTCGTCGTCGATCGGCAGCGCAGATATCAGCGGTGGGGAATTGAGTTTTTGAAGCGCGTCGCGCACGTCGGTTTGTACTGGAGAGTGCTTTGCAACCGAGGTCACGCGTAGCCACAAAATATCAGTGGCAAATTAATTTAATTAACGGAAACGCGGATAAATTAGTAAAAATCTAGTAACCTACGTTACTACCTTTTAGAATTCTAACTTGAAACGAACTTTAACATTTACAAGGAATACACCCACTTTTGTAACAAGGGCAAGGGAGAAAGTACTAGATATAACATTTGGTAGCTCTGAAATAACGAACCGTGAAAAACTGCAGGGTCTCGTCTGAATCCTCCCTGTCTGATCACAGGATTATAGAGTTCAGCAGAAGTAAGCACCTCCAAAGCAAGACTCAAGAGAAACCCTATCAGAGCAAATTGGGGATTATACGGAGCCAGAGCGCGTCAACCAGGCAGTAAAAGAGGCATTTGACTCAAGCTGCTCCACGGACTCGAGAGGCCACTCGAATGGGGCCCTATTGAACACATTCGAGCCTCTCAAATTCCCAGGAGCAGACGAGATCTTTCTAGTACTCCTGCAAAGAAGAAAAGAAGAGATGATATCGCACCAAAATATGCATGCTTTACTAGATATATATGCCCATGGATTTGCCCTGGATAACTGAGAATACTAAACTATTGATCAAATTGAGAAATAAAGCCAAACTCTATGTAATTAGTTAGATGGTGAATGGCGAGCGGTATATTGATGGTGTTTATTTCCTTGGAGCTGCTATCTATAAAATTGTGGAAGGGTCTATTTGCAAGAGAGAGAAACAAACTATTGAGTGTACTAAATTATATTTTATTATACATAAAACCAAAAATTTTTTTAATCAGCAAAATATCTTCCAATTCTGACAGCCTCATCTATTTTTCTAAA